AGACGGCTGCACACCTGTGAGCCTGGCCCTGGGAAAATCCAGGCTGCCAGGGGCCCCTCACCCTTCTGCCACCCGGGGACCCAGAGAGGTGACAGGGTGCCTGTCCTGGGTCTCAGGTGCCCCTGGGTGTTCGCTGTGGGCGGAATGAGGCTCAGGGTGTCAGAGCAGAACTGAGGTCTCCCCTCTGTGTCCTGCAGCTGGGACCAGGCAGGGCCTCCTGTGTGCTTCTCTGGGACCCCTGACTCCAAGCCCTCCATTCAGTGAACAGTTAGAATTCACCCCATTTTACAGATGGAAAAACTGAGGCTCATAAAAGGGGGTGTATCTCACACAGCCTGGAGCAAGTATGGACAGGAGTTATGTCCATTATACAAAGAAATAGGCACCCTCATGCACCCTCTTGTCCATCCCTTTGTCTCCCCAGCATAGCACCCAGTGCTGGGAGGAAGGTTAACAGGGGCCAGAAGACAGGGAGACCCTCAGTCGGGGCCTGGCTTGCTTTTCTCTGTGGCTCACAGGCCGATCTCCTTGTTCTCAGCTCCCCCCCGCCCCCCGCGCCTCCATCCCTAGACCAGAGAGGGCAGGTCTTGCCTTAAGTCACACAGCAAGCCAGGGGCAGAGCTGTGGCCAACCCAGGCCCCTCGCTCCAGGCTGCAGCCCTGTCTCCTGCCATCCCAGCCCAGGGTGCCCTTTATGGAGACCTTGGCCCCAGGTCTGGGCACAGCAGGCCCTTTAATACGGTTCAGCCCCCCTGGTTCATTTGTCCACAGGGTACTCAGCACCTGCCCTCTGTATCACCTGTACAACTGGGGGTGCGGTCCCACCTGATAACCTCAAAAGTGTTTTTTAGTTTGTCACTTTTAGGAGTTTTTTTTTTTAAAGATTTTATTTCTTTTTAGAGATGGGAAGGGAGGGAGAAAGAGAGAAACATCAATGTGTGGTTACCTCTCATATGGCCCCCACTGGGGACGCGGCCTGCAACCCAGGCATGTGCCCTGACTGGGAATCAAACTGGCGACCCTTTGGTTTGTAGCCCGTGCTCAACCCACTAAGCTACACCAGCCAGGGCTCTTTTAGGAGTTTTGAGGACTCACAATCCATGCGTTCTACTTCTGCTCTGCCTCTTACTATCTGTGTGACTTTGGGTAAGTGCCTGACCCTTTCTGAACCTCTGTTTCTTTATGAAAAACATGGGAGAAGGCCCCTCCCTCCCAGGGCGGCGGAGAGAACTGAACCAGTTGAGATGTTGGAATGGGCTCAGAACAGGGCGCTCAGTGGGCACTCGTGTTCACAGTCACTGTTCATTTTGTTGTCATCATTGCTTCCTGGTCCCACCCAGGAGGGGTGGGAGCCCTCCAGTTTCTCCTGACCCTCTTTTTGGGGCACCCTGGGAAGCCCCTCTGCACTTTGAGCCTCCTGAGCTGGCCCACAGCAGGATCCGGGGAGGCTGGCACTTCATGAGGCGGGAGCGGGAGGCTGGCCCACGGCAGCGTCAGCAAATGGGCACCAGCTGGGCTGGTGGCTGGGGCGGGCTGGCAGCTGCCCGGAGCGGGCGGGCCAGGCAGCCCCTCCCCTACCCACCCCTGGCACTGTGCCCACCAGCCTCAGGTTTCTCAGGCTGCCAGAGGGGGCAGGGAAGCCTGGCTGGGCTTCGGGGCTGGGCAGGCGGCTTCCCTCTCTGGGCCCAGTTTCCTCCAGGCACCTTCCCAAATGCAAGGCAGGTTGAAGAGCGCCAGGCTCACCCACTCCTGGCCTCCCTACCACCCTCATCACCTCCCTCTGCAATATACGCTGCAGCCTCTGGGCCAGTCCAGCCCCGGGGCCTTTGCACTGCCTGTGCCCTGCCTGGCGTTCTCATTCAGTCCCTCCACACCTCCTTCATCTCCTTCAGGCCTCGTCTTAAAAGTCACCTCCTCCGAGCGTTCCTTCCTGTCTAGAGTGCACCCCTGGCCCCTCTCCGCACCCCTCCCCCACTTCGCTTCCCTGACATCACCTTTATTCACTTAACTGTGAATTCTCAGCTCTTTATCTCCTGCTCACAGTGCCTCCCACCCCCCACAAAGTACACTCGTTTAGCAGGCAGCCCCCAACACCCTGAGGGGAAGCTCAAATCACCCCCTCATCACAATACTGCCAGAGGTCCCCTAGGCCAGCCATGGTACGCGCACAGTGTCCAAGCTAGAACCCAAAGCCTATGGCTGCAGTGGTACTGGACAGATGCCTGGGGCACCCAAATTGCGCTCCAAGAGGTGCCCTGGGCTCTGACAGCTCCAGTACTGAAGGGACCCTCTCCTGGCTAGTCCCACCTCTACACCGCTCAGAATAAGCCCAAGGGTGGAGGCCTTGGATTCCCCTTTGGGATGTGGCCCCACCAATCCACCTGACACCCCTGGAGGAGATAGAGAGGCTAGTGGGGAGGAGCCAGGCCCTGCCCGAAGACAGTGAAAAGGCTGGTGCATTGCCTCTGCGTCTGTGCCTCCAGGTTTCTGTCTGCATCTCTGTGTATGTCTGTCCTTCCGTCGGTTCTGAGGCCCCACTCCTGATGTTAGAGGTGGTCCCTCCTTTTAGCTGTACAGCAGGTGTCCCCCTCAACATCTACCCTGCACTCCTCCAGAGGCCAAAAGAGGCCCATTCTTTCCCGCTCAATTCCACGCCTCCCAGTAAGACTGAGTAAAGTGGACACTGTGCTCTGGCCTAGGCTGCAACCCACCCCCTCCAGCCCTGGAACCCACAGGGTACGAGTGCGGAGGTGGTGGCTGTTCCTCTCTGCCATCAGACTGACATCGGCCCGGCCAAGGACAGAGCTGACTCTGGCCCAGAACAAGGGCAAGGGATCTGGGATAAGTGGCAGGGAGCTGGGGCTCAGTGGAGGGTCCTGGAGGGCAGCTTTGGTCCAGGGACCCTGGAGGAGGCCCGGGCTGCCGGACGCTCAGGGCACAGACGCAGCCCGGAGGTCGCAAGCCGTGAGGACTGGCTGCCCACACTGCAAACGACCATTTCCCTTCATCCCTTTCTGCCCCTGGGTATGGAAGGCTGGTGGTGGGGCGGAGGTGGGAGCATCAGCTCGGCGGCTGCCTGTGTCCAGATCCCACCTGTGCCCTCTCTGGGCTGTATAACCTTGGGTGGTCCCTTCTTTGGGCTACTGTTTCCTTTACTGTGAAATGAAATAGGCACAACGATGATTCTGACTCGGGCTGCTGTGAGAATGGGAAAAAGTCGCTGAGCCCTCAGAAAACGATGCCTGACAGAGAGAAAGTGGAGTTAGGAGGTGGAGTTTTGAGGCGCGAGTAGGAGTTTTCCACAGGGGAAAGGCACTCCAGCAGGGGGAACAGCACAGGCGAAAGCCTGGAGGTGGGAAAGAGTAACCGTATGAGGATGGATACACAGTAGCCACCCACGGAGCCCTAGCCCCATGCCTGGCACTTGTCTTCACCAACCGTGTGCACCCAACACCCCTACAGGCAGCTACTTCCAAGCTTCCCAATTCACAGACAGGAAAACCAGGCACAGAGAAGTTAAGTGATTGTCCAGATCAGCCGGCAGAAGACAGCTGAGTTAGGGCTGGAATCCAGGCCCCAGTCTCACACACCACCCTCACTCCCGGCCAGCTGGGGCTGGGTCAGCTGGGCCCAGCATGAGCAGGGATTCCCCTGGGGTGATGGAGTGGGCTGGAAGCAGGGGGGCGTGCAGCCTTGACCTTTGCTGGCCCTCATTCAAAGAGGTTGACCAGACTGGCCGTCAAAGGCTAGCGGTGGGGCTCGAAGGTGTCTGGGGAGGCCTGAAGGCCTGGCTTGCCTGCCGAGCTGAGGGGGAGAGGGGGCACGTGGGGGAGGGGAGGTGCCCAGAGATTATGCTGACGCTGGCAGAAAACTCTGCTTCAAAATTTTATCAGCTCAGCTCGGAGGAGGTGGGGGTGGGGCTCGGTGCAGAGGATGAATGCGGAGGGGGAGACCTGGACCTGCATGGTAATGAGCCAAGGCAGCCCCTGCCCCCTGCCCCCTGCTTGAGACAGTCACTTCCTCCACTTCTGGGCCTCCACGCCCCGAACACTGCCTCACTGCCAGCCCCTGTGGGCTTGTGGTGAATTGCTGGGGGTGGGGCAGGGGGCAGGTGGGGTCAAGGTCAATAAATCAAGGTCAAGGCTGGGAAATTCTGCCTGGCTCTTCTTCCTACACACCCTGAAGACCTGGAGCTCCACAGCTTCATCTAAGAATACCAGTGCAAAGAGTCAACATGGCCATTATCCCCCTTGTACAAAGGGGGAAACTGAGGCACGGAACACTGATGTGCCCAAAGCTGCATTTGGAACACAGACACACAGGCAGGAAACAGTGACCCTGGCTTTAGCCACCAGCACCTGTGACCTTGAGGGGCTGGATAACATGTCTGGCCTCCACATTTCCACGTAGGCTGTGGACCACCTGGGAATGATACCCCCACACCAGTCAATGCCCAGCCATCCTGCAGAGCTCAGTTCAGCCGCACCTCCTCTTCCAGGAAGCTGGCATGGATCCCCCTGCCACACACACATGGAAACTCTGTTGATCTCAACCTCAGGCATTTAACCACAGAACCAGCAAACACCCAGGTGGAAGGGCTGAAGCTGGGGACACTGGGGGCCACAGAGGGTGGTGACCTAGCCAGTCATGCAGCACCCCAGCTTCCCACTCACAACACAACTGTGTGCCCCATCAAGCCTCTGCTGGCAGTCTGAGAGTCAATCGACCATTGCTCACAGCATAGGATTCCAGTACTCGGCCAGCTTTCCCCAGAGGGATCGGACCCTTCACCTCCCACCTGTCTGTCTCCCATCAGCCTCTTTCCTGTCCTCATCCCTCTTCCCACCGACCTCTGGGACTTCCCCTTCCCCTTGGACAATGCCGGGCCCCACCTCCCACATCATACTTCACATATGCTGGCTCCTCCCTCTGACCCTGCAACTGTGCAGGAGCCCGCCTTCCTCCTTGAACCCCAGTGCCCCCCATTTCCCTCCAGCTTACCTCTCTCCCGCACGAAGTAGGCCAGGTAGAGGTCAAGCTCCTTGACTGCCACTCCGATGTGGTGGGGCTGCACGCAGAGCACTGGGTGGCCGCACTGCGCCGCCTTGACCAGGCGCTCGCCATCAGTGCTCTCCAGGGGGATGCCCTTGAAGAGGATGACCATGACCAGGTCCAGGCGCCACACCTTGTCGGCCTGGCGCAGGCAGTCGATGCGGCGCATCTTGCCCTTCTGGTCGGGGTTGGAGAGCACACAGCCCGGTGCCTTCTTGCCGGTGATGGCCAACACGAAGTCCTCGCGGCACTCCGGCCGGATGTCCTTGCGCAGCTTGGCCAGCAGCCGCGATGCCCACTTCTGCTTCACTTCGGCCTTCTCTCCCAGCAGTTCGTCCTTCACCGCACGCTCCTCGTCCTTGGACATCCGCTTCTCGTGCTTCTTGAAGTATTTGCGCTTCCGCGCCTGCAGGTTGAACCACGTGTAGGCGAAGGCGCGCACGTGAGGCAGCAGCGCCTCGATGAACGGGTGGAACTCATCCTGTGGGCAGGTGGGAGAGGGGGAAAGTCAGGAGGTGGTGGGGAAGGGGACCCATTGCCCAGACCAGAAGACTGAAGCCTGGGGCAACTCAGTAAGTGGGGGAAGGGCCAGGCAGAGGTAGGCAGGGGGCCACTGCAGACCCCTCCACCTCCTGAGGAAAGTAGAAGGGGCCCAGCAGAAGCTCACGAGGGACAGCCAAAAACCCATTGCCCATATGGGGAAACTGAGGCTTGGACTAGGCAGAAAGCCAAGGCCAAGGAACACAATCACGGAGGACTGTCTTGAACCCCAAGACAGGACATGCTGAGGGTTCCTGGAGGAGGTGGATGGGGACCCGGTGTACAGACGGGGAAACAGACTGGGACAATGAGGATATGGTGGATCCATTCTCTTCCTGCTAAAACTGGGATCTGAAAGTACTATAAAGAACCAGATAGTGAATATTTCAGTTGCCACTACTCCATTCTGCACTGTTAAGTGAAACACAGGTGAGCTGTTAATGACCGGCACAGCCAGATATTCCAATAAAACTTTATTGACAAAACAGATGGCTGGCACTGGGCCCCCAGGCTGTGTGCGAGTTCCAAGGTCGAGAGCAGGGCTGAGCACCCACGGTGGGTGCTCGGAGATTGCAGGAGAAACCAGGAGTGGAGAATAGTGCCCGGGGCTCCATTCTCAGACCCCACTGCTCGGCAGAGGAAGCTGATCCAGCTGGGGGTCCAGGGCCACCCCTACTGGTCCTTGGCACTGATGGAAAAAATGAGGACACGTGTAAGGACAGGACTGGCTGAGGCCCACAGACGGAGACTAGGACCCCTGGATGTCAGAGGCTGCCCATTGTGCAGGCCAGGAAAGCTGAGGCTCTAGACACCAGGGCAGAATACACTGCAGACTGGGGAGCTCAGCCGTGGAGGTTCGGAGCCAGAGAGAGGGGCCCCTGAGGGCCAGTTCACCTCACCCTGTCCCCCAGAGATCCGTTCTGCTGATGGAGAAACTGAGGCCAGGGGAGGGTGGGACCTAGCCAGAGCTGTGACTCAACATCTCCCTCCCATCATGCCTAATTGGTGTTGCTGAGCCCCCACACCCATCTGACTCCCCCCATGGAAGCAGCAGCCCCAGCAGGGCCCCTTGGAGAGCCGCAGGGGAGGCCCCATCCCCTTCTCAGAGGGCAGGAGGGCTGCGTCACTCTCTTCGTTTTCTAGCAAGGGAAACAGTCCACAGAACATCGGGACCTGGTTTCTTAGCCTCAAGAGTGAGACGTTCAAGGAGAAAGGAAGACAGAAGAAAAACAGCGGTCCCACCTCCCTAGTCTTGCCTGGGCTGCGCTAGGCTTCTTGGATGGGGTGATAGCTCTTCCTGGCTTATGAACCCCATTATCTGCCCGGTTCTCAAAAGGCTGTATCAGCTGTTACAGTCAAACCATGGTTCTCGAATGTCTCCCATCTTGAACAATTCGGTTCTCCACCAAGTTCTTCACAAAAAAATGTCTCGATTGTGGAACAGAACTTCTGTTCTCAATCCGACAACCCTTTCATGCTGACCCTGTACTTCTAATGGGAAAAAAATGATTCGGTTTTCAAGCAAATCACTTCTCCAGCAGCCTTCTGGAGAGAGTTAGGTTCAAGAACCGAAGTTCCACTGCACTGTTATTATTGATGTTGTTACGATTACTTTGGTTGCTTGTGATCTTCCAGGGGGTCAGGGAAAGGCCTGAGGCTTTGCCGTACGTTGCATGATGTGGAAACTGAGGTTCACAGAGGCCCTAGGCCTAGGTCCCACTCTCGTGGCCTGTGTGAGGGTAAGAACCCAGGACTCCTACCCCACCAACGGTCCTCAGGCCCCTTCCTTGGAACAGCCCACTCTCTGCAAGGCCGGGGTCTTGGACGGGGAGAAGCAGCTGCTGTGGGCTCTTGGTTGGCTTTCCAGGTGGATGCGGCGGGGCACAGTCGCACCTCCAGACCTGGATGCACGTGGTACCCACCCGCTCGCCCTCGCTGCTCTGTGCTTCATCTTCCTTTGAGCCATCTCTGGCCATGGGGGGAGGGGGATGACCTCAGATTTCACTTATTACTGAGTCTCTGAAAATAGCCTTCTGCCCTCACCAGGGTGGGGTGGAATGGGGCTCGGCTTGTGCGCCCAGTTCCCCACTCCAATGTGCTCTGAAGCATGAGTCACTGGAACAACTGTGGCAGGGACTGAACCTTGGGTCCTTTTCTGCTGCCCCCGCCCCGCTGACCTGCTGAGGCAGAGGGAGGACGAAGGGCCCATCCCCTGCCAGTCCCTGTCCAACCCGAGTTGCCTGTCCTGTGCTTGAATGCCACGCGGCATGCCAGACTCAGAGATGGGCAGCCACTCGCTCAGGGTCACACAGCCAGCCCATCAGCAGAGCTGGGCCTGGAGCCCAGGCCATCTGGCTAGAGAAACTGGGGGGCGGGGGACAGGGAATCAATAGAGGCACAGGTCGCTGTCCCTGTGGAGGGAATGCCAGGGCAACGGTGTGGACGTTGGGCTGTGGCTGTCACCCAAGTTCTGGTGATTACTGGGGCCCTGATAAGAGGGAGCTGGGAAGAGGCAGCTGGGGTGTCAGCCAGCAGGAGCAGGCTACAGGCCCCAGACTCCTCCTCTTCTTGACCGCCAGCCTTTCTCTCTGAGCACCTCCCCACTTTTGAGCCCCTTTCCCTTAATTTTTTTCTTGTCTGGGCTCCTTCCTCCCTAAGCCCCCACCCCTCTTCCAGCTCCTTCCCTCTTTTCCCCCTCCTCCCCCTCTCTGATCTCTACCCCCTCTCTGGGGAGAGGTGCCAGGGAGGCGAGCAGGGGTGGGAGCCCACGTCACCAGTGACCCTAGCTGGTCCTGGAGGAAGGAAGACAAACAGTCTGTAACTGGGTCATGGACCTGCTGCCCTGTCCTCTCTTGTCCTCCCTGGGAGGTCAGGCCAGTCACTCTCTTTGTCCCATAAGACCTGCAACAACCAAGGCCTCTCTTCCGCAGGTGCCTCCCAATGTCCTCAGTGGCTGACAGGGCAAAGGAAACAGCCAAGGCAAGCTAGACGCTGAGAATCCTCCCAAACTCCTACACATCCCTCAAAGCCCTATCTCCAGTGTTCCTTCATTTCCTGCTCTCCTCTGGGGTTCCCTCAGACCTAGTGTGGACCACACAAACTGTGGGGTCTGGGTCTAGTTGTTTCTCCTCCTCCAACCCTAAGTCCCAGGGCTGAGGCGCTCATTGCTAGGCAGACCCTAGAGCGGAATGAGGCGGGGTGATACTGGCCTCCATTTGCACCTTCTGTGTGACCCAGGAACTAATCACTGCTCCACTTGGGGCCTCAGTTTCTCATTTAGTAAAATGGGCAGAAAGGGGCACTGTGGCCCGCTGGGGGGTTTGCCTACTGCCCTGGTAATCAGAGGGCAGAGGGAGGGGAACAAGGCTAGGCCTTCCCCAGAAACCCCACTTGGCCCACTGGGACTTCCCAGCCAAAGAGGGCAGCAGCGGCCTGGAGACGGGCCCCTGGGCCCGAGCCTGCTGGGCGCACTGGGCGGGACAACTGCGCACTGGGCTAGGCCCCTCTGGTGTCCCTACCACCCTCAGAGTCCAGGGCAGCAAACCAGCACATGGAACTCCAATTTCCACCAAAAAATATTCCAGAAAGGATTCTCTCTCTCCTCTGTTCATTCAGGAATCACTGTTACCCACCTCCTAAGTGTTTATTCTCAACTCCTATGAATCCTTCAAGGCCCGGATTTCAATGTCCCCTTCAAGTGAAGCCCAGGTGAAGTGGCGGACAGCAGGGCTTATATGCAAATGCAGACCCATCTGGCACCAGATTAGGGTTCCTAACCTAAGGGATCTCCTCCCCACAAGCTCGAGGGAGCATCAGAGTTTATGAACAGCTCTATCTAATGAGGGAAAGAGTCATTCCGTAGTTCAACCAACGTTTACGGAGTGCCTGCTGTGTGCCAACCCCATGCACGGTGCTGGAGACCCAGCAGTGACCTGAGTTCGGCTGGCACCCGGATCCACATCTGGGGCAGAAACGGATGTGAAACAAACCAACAAGTATGTAACAAAATGTCAGGTCCAGCAGAGTGTTTTGAAGAAAGTTACAGGAGTTTGAGGGGACCAGGGAATCCCTTGGGGGCTGTTTCTTGGCTGGGGGTCCATAGGGAGGTCTCGCATAGGAGAGGAAGCTTGAATGTAGACCTGAAAGATGACAATCAGAGCAGCTGTCCAGGTGGAGAGAGCAGTACCAGCACGTACAAAGGCAGGAGGCAGGACCATGCCCAGAACTTTATGGGCACAGTGAGGAGGCAGGTGAAGCTACAGCAGAGTGAACAAGCGGGAGTGGAGGGGTGAGGGCGGGGAAGGGACCGAGGCTGGTTGTGCAGGGCCTTACTGGCTGGGCCACTGGGAGGAATCTGGTAAACAGACCAGACAGTGAAACCCCTGCAACAAACTGGCAAGTGAGTGTGATCCGGGAACTCTGACTTCTTGTCTGGTATCCCAGGGGGAGGATGGGGGCTGAGCCAAAACAAAGGCATGGTGTCATGCCTTTTGGAGGCTGAGTATTTACTGTGCCCACTGCCCGGAGGGAGAGACTGAGGCACTCACTGAGCATTGGAGTCACTGGTCCAAAGTCGCACAGCCAGGAAGGAGCAGCACTGGGACGTGCACCTGAGCCCCTATAACTGTGGGCCTCCCGACACCTCAGCCCCACTGCTGGGACTGCAGTCTGACTCCAGCCTTGGAGCTCCCCAAAGAGGCCCACTCTGCACTCCCCACGATCCCTCTGAACTCTGTGTGGCTCCCTTCCCCTGCTCCATCCTGGACCACCTGCCACTACCTCCTCCTCCTCCTGGGAGGGGGCCCCACTGTCCTGTGCTGTCCCCATGTTTCCTGCCCACTCCGCACCTAGACTGCAGCCCTCTAGGAGAGGGTTTTGATCTGTGTCGTTCACTGTGGTGTCCCCAGAGTCCAGAGCAGTGAAGGGACAATCTCATCCTTT